AGGCAGATAGACGAAGTAAACTGCTGAGGGGAGTAGCGGGTGGGTCAGGAGAGGTCTGCCACACCATGTGGTCACCTCCTGGGCAGGTGGGAATCGAACTCATGCGGAAGCGGCTTTAGATTCTCAGTGCTGTGCTTTAACCCGCTGCACCACCAGGGAGGGCCAGAATTCACTTTTAAAGAAATGATTGATTGTTAGTAAGGGTGTGGTGGTATATATTGGTGGTGTATATTGAGGCCAAGGCACAGACGTAGAGAAAATCACCTTAAACAAAGTGGAGAACAGTAAAGATTTATTGAAATACCCTGCAAGGGAATGGTACAAGATGGTAGAGATCCATCTCTTGGAGACTGGGGTTCCCTTTTATAACCTACTTCCTGGTTTTTATGACTGCTGAGTCAGTCTGTAGCAAGTCTTATCTGCTGGGACATCAGGTTTCCACAGGCCTTCCCACAGGAGGTGTCCTGTTGGGTTCTGTTTTCATTTCTGCATTTCCCACAATTCTCCATCACCCCTACTGGACATGTGGACCCAGAGCCACACTATTGTCATTTCTATTCTATTTTGCATTGTTCAGCTGGGCAAGGTATAGAGACTGTTTTAACTCTATTAAATGATACTGGAACATTCAGGATAATTTGCATGAGCTTGGAAAAATGTAAATAAAAACAGGTAATTTTACTCCAGAAGTAGCTTGCAAAAGCAGAAGGAATCACAAAACTGTGAGGAGGTCTTTGGCCTTTTAATCTCATGTTGTATTCTGCCAACTATGTCTATGTGTATTGAACATAACAGAAAGTGAGACATTTAAACAACCATTCTGCAGACTAAAGTGTTTGTAAAGCAAAAGCTCACTTCATGATGATGAGGTGAAGCAGGAACAAGTGAACTGGGTGCATCATTTACCCACATGAGAATGGTGGGGAAGGAAACAATTACTGTAAGAGAGAGGAGACTAGCTCCTGTCCTGGCCCCTCCTGGCTCACTTAAGTCTGCTTCTGTTTAACTGCAGGAGATGAAGGACACTGCAGGGACTTTAGTGGAACCACTGGGAGAACAGAACTGAAAACACAAAATAGAACTTCATCTACATACATTTATTCTACTCTAGAGGTTGAAACAAGAAAACATTCTCAAGATCAGAGGGCACATAGTATTAATGCATTAATAAGCACAAAAAAAGGAAACAAAATGTTACAATCAGGGTAAAGGAAAGCAAGGAGTGTATGACAAAGAAGCGACCAGAAAAATAACAACTTGGGTGGAAGGGAGGGGAATATTTTTGTCAAATGCTGAGATGAAAATAGAGCACAGACTCTGGTGTGGGGCAGGGAGAAGGCCTTGATGAAAACTGAGTGGTTGTGTGGGATGCTTTAAAGTGATATTATGGAGGACCTTTATTACCAATAGGAAAATGTCCAGACTGAGGTGAGATGATTGACTAGACTTTGAAGATAGAAAGTCAAGAGTCTGAGTGCTCAGAGTACATTATATAACATTCTGCTGAAAGCTAAATTGCTCAGCAGCAAGCCTGATTATAATCTAGGGAGAAGAACCAAGTGGTAAGCTTCAGCGTACAGAGGATTGGGAAATCTAACCCCTGGAATAAGGAGCTTGACAGACAGATGACATGCGCTTCAAAAACACATTGTGGTTCTTTGTTGCTTTGCATTTTTATGGAAGTATATCTGAGGTGATGAAAAAAAGGAATAGATGAACTGAAGTCAAAATGAGGGGCAAGATGGGCATCTAATCCACCTTACTTCTAGCTCTGTCATTTTAAGACAGTGGAAGGAAAACATGAAACATTATGAAAAGGAACTGCTGGCATACCACTTATGCCAACCAGCTGCCATTCATCAGCCTATCATTTCTCTATGTAATCTATTCTACCATCTTCTCAATAGCCTAACAATACCTTC